GAGAGAGAGAGAGAGAGAGAGAGAGAGAGAGAGAGAGAGAGACTAAACCCACTGCACTCCTAGAGACTCCAAGTACACAACAAAATGCATTTAACTGCAAAAAAGGTGGATTTTCCATGATATGTCCCCTTTAAATATGTATAATTTTTTTCTTTCTATTGGAGCAATGAGGATGAAACTCAGTCTCACATCAGCCCACATAGCAACACTCGGTTTGGAGATCCTCATAGGGATCTCTGTTAAACTGCTTGTTTGATGCATAACAAATCATGCTACTTCCAAGTGGGGCGAAAAATTTAAAAATAAATAAAAACAAGGACATTTCTTAATCTAAAATGAGATCAGTCAACTCACCAGACACCAGAATAATAACCAGCTTCCCGTTCTCACTGAGCAGACTCTGGAAGAAGCTGATGGTAGCGCCGGGATCCTTCACGTAGTACAGCATCTGTCGATTTCACCACACATAATGAGCTGCTCGCTGCATTCACGGAGCGCCTAATTATATTTCTTTGCTAGACAGATGCACTAATGGGATTAATTGCTGTCGAGTGCCACCTAATGAATATGACCTAGATGTGTCAGAAATACAGTGTGGGAGCTGCAAGGACGTCAGCACCAACCTGTATCATGTGAATGAAATCTGCCTTCTTTGTCATCTTTGTCTGCTTCCAGTGCTCYTCAAACTCAGAGGCTGTCATCTTGTTCCAGTTGAACTTGATGTAGTCGAACTCTGGTTTCTGAGACACTGAAACTTCAACAAGACAGAGAACAATTAAATGTGGAATTTGAACACATTTTGTGCGATGGCAATAACACAATGTTTACGTTGACTCTTTATTGCTTTGAGCAACTGACGCATCTAGAGCACGCATTTTTGTGCAACAAAACCAGTTTAAGTTGAAGGCCTATTCCTTCAAAGAATTGCATTTTAAGCAAGTTTTAAACTAAAGCAATATCTTAACAAATAAGGAGAGGGGACAAAGTATAACAATGCAGACTCTAAAAGTTAATCAGTTGTAGATGTACTCAGTGATTCCTTAAGATGTGTTGTTTTTTCAGATTATGGTAATTGAAACTGAAGCTGCTGCTGATTCTGATATGTGAAATTTTCACCTCTGCAGAAACATCACTTCTGTTCTATCGCACTTCATTATAAACAGCAGAAGCCACTTGGCAGAAACAAAGGGTGGCACATGTGACTAATCAATAAAAAGGAATCWGGTGAGAATGACTGAGGTAGTGTTTAAAAAACGTGTCACCCCAATTTAATTCTTACTTGACTTGTTTAAGGTTTTAAGTCAAGACTTTTTTCCTTATTTTAATTTTTGTAAAAAAAGAAAAAAAAAAAAAAGAAGAAAAGTCCCCTTCATCCTACAGACAGTCCAACATGTATGCACTATTTTGGGATTATGTTTATTATCACAGACACACTATGCAATATACAAATTTACACATTCACCCATGGTAAAGCAATAATTTATATATGTTTAGTTCGGTTCGAAACTTTAGTCTCACGGTTCGATTTGTTTTCGATACAAAAAAGAGAAATTTCCATGCCTCTTTTAACTTGTAA